CAAGTTTCCAGGTAGTGTTAACTATTGGTGGTCTGGGGAATCACACTTTAAGAAGCACTGATCTAGAAGAAGTTGACAAGGAGAAAGGGAAAAAAGAAATACGTTAAAATATGTATTTTATCAACTTTTTTTAGTTTCAGTACAAAATTCACAATGATAAAGACTGTCTCAGCGATACATGAAACACTTTTAATTGGGGAGGATGGTGAGGACGTAATCTGTAGAGTGAATAGGCAGATGCTTACACTGAATAAGGGGGAAACCCAGAATAAGGTAGGGAGGGGAGAAAGAGATAAAGGTAAGTGGAAGAGAAGGACAAGAAGAAAGCCTGTGGAAAAGAGAAGAGAATGGGAACTATACAGGAGGGGAAAGAGGTGAGAAAGCTTGTAAAAAGACAAAGAGGGAAGGATGGGAGCACCTCTGTCCTGGACTTGGGACATTGTTCTCTATTTCGTCAAAGCAGGAGGGCACTTTCTCAAGATCCCTTTTTCAGAGTTGCTACTGGAGATCCTCCCACTACCCCTTCTAGAGGCTAAGCTCCAGAACAGATGAACTATGAGCTAGGAGGTTAGATACAGTGTTTCAAGTTTCCTATTCAAGCAAAGGGCCAAGGAACAGTACTGACTTCAGCGAGGTTAAGTACTCACCAAATAGAAATGACCTCACGGTATATTTTAAATTCCAGATTCCAGAAAAAAATTTAAGATGTGACATTTACTTTTGTTTTGTGATACACCCACAGTGAAGGAAACTCAGCCCCTCTGCAAAGGGCAAGATATTTAGAAAAGCAATTCATGGATATGGCTAAGCGTGTTAACACAATATTTCGTGGAATTCAATAAACCTTGAAAGAACACTTTCGCTTTTGAGGAAAATTATATGACTTAGGATGTTTTTGGTTGCAAGTGACAGAGAACTCACATCTGACTGGTTCTTATATTGAAGGGGATGCACTGCTTTATGTACCTGGAAAACTGAGAGCTGATGCTGGCCTTGGGCAGAGATCACTCCAGCAGCTCAGCGATGTTCCCAGGGAGGCAGTTTGCCTCTGCTACCCTGTTCTACGGTACCAACTGCATCCTAACACTGCCTGCTTTTATCGTCTCAAAATAGATGCCAACAGTTTTGGGGGCCAAGTGCTTCTTTATTCACATCCCATAAGGAATGATTACGTTTGACCCACAAGTCTCAGCAGAAAGCTTGGTAGTTAATTGCACTGCTTAAAACATACACCGACATTGAAGCAAATCACTGTGGGAAAGGAGGGCAGGGACAAGGATGGGATTTGTGGATGGGCTGAGGGAGCAGGCCTCCACTCCTATGGAGTTAGGAGTGGAATCAGCACCCCCAAATCCCATGGATGCCCAAATGAAAGAGAGGGCTATTAGGAAGGGAAGAGAAGGCATTAGATGATGCGGAGACAATAGCCCATGGGCAGTACGGCAACACCGTAAAGTTTTAATTCCATCCTCATTTCCTAGGAATTAAACCTTCTTTCTGATCACGTGGCTTCTAACTGGTTCAAAAGCAGTCACTGAGTTGGATGAGGAGAGAAAGCCCATCAAAAAAGAAAAAAAAAGAGGTAGAGCAGTAGAAGATCCCCCCCGCCACACACACACCCCGCCAGGGCAAGAGTGCCCTTTCTTCCTCTCCACAGATACAAACCCCGTCCTGCTATTCTGTGTTCCACGAAGGAGCTGGAGATCTAGTTTGTAAACAGAAGGAAGAGGGTCTTCTCTGACATGTTCTCCTCAGAAATGAACATGTTTTATTTTAGAAGCACTTGGGCCAAGTATCAAAAGTGAGTCTTGAATTGCTTCTTCTGTTCTTGACACACTTAAATCTTAGCCTCATAATGAAGTGTCAAAAAGAAATGGCTGGGAAAGGAATGATTGCGATTTTGCCCATGGTTTCTGGGTTCCTTCCAGTAAGTCACTGCTCCTCAGTAAAGCCGTAAGAGAGAGAAGCGGGCCTAAAAATTCATAAAGGGTTCTGGCTGCCTGACTCCGTTTTGGGATTAACTACATCCACCCCTTCCCACCCTCACTCCTAACCCTTTTTTATAGGCCCTCCAGGACATGTGCAGAGCACAGTGAAAATGTTAAGAAACAATTAGATACATAAATACAGTTTGTTCAAGTCTACTTAACAACCAGAGTGGAAGGGATGCGTTTGTTTATGTAACAAATTCCTCAGAGTAAACTGAATTTGCAACTTCTCATGAAATCCATAGAGACTGAGTGTGCTTGCTCCTCAAAAATCAGCAATTCCTAAGTATACAAGTACTTCTCAAAGTACTGCAAGGCTATTTTACTGAATTAGGCACAGTTATTAAGATAGTATTATCATTCAAATGCACAAGTAGAAGCAACGGTACGCAGAGCTTCACAAACCCCAACATACGGGTACATTGCATTCCATTCCATTCCTGTGAGTGCTTACTTTTCTTCCTCCCCTCAGACTTTGTAATCACTGTCCCTCACCCTCTGGAGGTATGCTTTCCTCTGGCTGCTTATTGATGATTCCCCTCTAGTCCCTAAAGCCTTTTCTAATCTCCTTCCTCAAAACTACGAAGGTGGTTATTATGTATGTATGTCATCTGGCATTTCTCACCGGTCAGCTTATGGTGTTAAGAAGAGCTTGTTTCTCCAGGGGTGCCTGGGTGGCTCAGTGGGTTAAGCCTCTGCTTTCAGCTCAGATTATGATCTCAGGGTCCTGGGATCAAGTCCCACATCGGGCTCCCTGCTCAGCAGGGAGCCTGCTTCCTCCTCTCTCTCTGCCTGCCTCTCTGCCTACTTGTGATCTCTGTCTGTCAAATAAATAAATAAAATCTTAAAAAAAAAAAAAGAAAAAAGAAGAAAAAAAAAGAAAAGCTCGTTTCTCATGTTGCTCTGTCTCATCTCCCCAGCTACATTATAAATGACTCAAGAATGTTACGTGTCTTTGAATTTCCCCAGTGGTTCCTTAAGTGACTTAAGACTAAAACTTCCTTGAGGGAAGGCACTTCATCCCCTATTTTGTTTTCCAAGATAACTCCCAGAACCCTATCCTGCCAGAGAGCATACTCTCAATAAATATTTACTGAATGAACGAATAAACATACTAATATTAGGTGCTTCAGAGATACCTGTCAGGTTGAACACTACTACTACTACTGATCTACTATCAGCTGGACCTATGTTTGAACTAATTTTCCAATTGCTGGGTGATTTTCGTTAGTAATTCATTAGTAATTCAAGACAAGACCATGACTTGTACTAGTACTGCCCTAGGATATAAGAAGGACCCAAAGGCCCACAAAAAAAGTTGAGATCACACTTTCTACTCCTGAGGAATCCATGCTTCATTTCCACCTCTCAAGCTCTTACTACACCCTCTTCTTATCTAAGCAAGCTTTTGTAAGTGAGGTATCTTGCCAAAGATCAGGGCTATTGTTTTACACTGGAATGTAACCCATATCAATGACCACAGTGTGACAGTCAACCAGGCATCCTCTTTCAGGGATGGGAAGCAAGGGAAATTAAGGCTGTTGGCTGGTGGGGTGGGGGAGGCGGGTTTGCAATAGAGCAAGCACATTCCTTTGTGCGGAGATCATCCACTCTCACATACCCACTCACACTGGAAATCCCATTCTAGTCCTTCATCTAAATTCACAGTTTAAGAGGAGAATGTCCACTGCAAGGCAACTCCTTATTCTGGTTGCTACCATTGCTGAAGAAATCTGCTAGCTCTTGCTGCTTTTCCCTGTTTTTCTGCAAAACTACTGGACTTCTTCAGCAATAGAATTACTGGGAAGAGTTCCCTTCCTTCCTGTATCCAAGGGCCTCCCAGAAATGGGGAAGTACCTAACAAGGGGTTCTTCCTCCAAAACATATTTCCGGAATTCCCATTATTCGGAGCAAGAACAATATTCTTCCATTCTGATTTTTGGTTGGCAGCTGATAGCAGCACTGACTACTTATTTACTAAATTCAGCAAAACCTTCTGTGTTTATTAATGAGAGGGGTCCTCATAGTGCCTCAGTGGCCTGAACTCCAAGGGGTGACAGCTGCAAAGCCATAAGACTATGCCTTCATGATGAACTTTGATTGTCAGCTACTTTAAAGGCAATTTTCTCTGACTCACTTAAGTGTTTGGTAGATGAGAAAATAAATTGGCTCTTAGTAGACAAATTTAGAATGGGTGCAATTTTCTGAGGATTATACTAAAGATCTGTGGGATTAAATTTCTAGTGAAAAGATCCATCTTGCTAGAACACTGTCCAAAAGGAGTCCTTCGCTTTCCTCAAAAATTATGCTTTGTCTGTCTTTAGGAACAATGTTTCATGGGTTGGCTACTTAAAATTAATAACAGAAAAGTTAAGGACTTCTAAAAGCAGAAACAATAGAAAAACTAGACTATGGAGGTTTTATTTATTGTTACATTTATTCAACCTTCAGATTTGACCTATAGAATTTGGTTATAGGATTCATATTTTGCCACATCTCAGACTAAGTAGTTTTCAAAGGAAAATGTAACACCTCGTCTTCTAAACTTTCTCTTGCTCCTGATTGCTCTATTTCCACATCTTCCAGCCACCTACCTTCAAGCCACAGTCCTCCACAAATCCTTCCCTTTGATCAATCCCATTTCTAATTATTTTCCAAATCTGGTAGATCTTACCACCCCATGTCTCTCACATGGCATATAAGCATGATTATATAACCTAAGGCATGCCCCACTCTAATCCTTTCTATAAAAAAACTTTTAATGACCTTGTTGTCATCATACAGCAGCAATCATAGTATTTTGTTCTCATGAGGTATCCCATCAGAAGTCATGGTAGACATTCCCACAAAGACATCGCACAATACAACTGGCCAGCCAAATGAAACATGGACTCCTGGATCTCCTTGTAATTTGATAATAAAGAAAAGGGGGATTAAGCCAAAGTTTTCCCCCTCAGAACCATCATCTTTCTTAGACTTTCTGGATAAACGTGGCCCAGCTGTCTCACTGACCTTCCAGGACATTGGTACTTCCCGCTTCCAAATGCCACGAACTGGTCCAAGAAAGCATGCTTCTCTAAATTTGCCTTTTTCCAACGTTCCTGTGGGAAGAAAGCATTTTTTTTTTTTTCCAAATCAGCCTTATATAAATAAGCTTAACTTTATTTCTCTAGGCTAAAAATGACTTTGTACAGCTAATCCTTGCATATAAAGTTGCAGGGCTGTTGGTAATTTTTTTCCAACCTGTTATTAATATCAGACACAATTGTGTTTTTGGAATGTGAACCAATAAATAAAAAGATTAAAAAAAAAATCCTGTTAAGTGGTAAATGTAAATGATAAGGTAAATCAACCATGGAATTGACCTCAGAAAAGGAAGACTATTTATAATAAGGTCTCAGTCCCCATCACAGAATTGCCCTTGGTAATAAATTCAGTAAGTTACTGGCAGCCCTGCTTAGTGGAGGGAACTTGGGATGTGGAATGAATACATCTGGATGCCATTTTTTAAAAGTTTTACCTAAAGGCAGAGAATGGATTAAATGAACTCTTAAGATTCTGCTCAGCCCTGTAACTCCCCAGTTTTAAGCAACAGTAAAGCAGTTTTAATTTTCCTTGTTTTTGTTTTTTTTTTTTTGTTATACTCCTTGGAAACCAATAACAGGAGCAACGGCCTGATGAATATAAGTCGTCTATCAGAACCAGACATATTTACTTTAATGTACGTTGCTGCTTTCAGATCATTTATTTAAAATTGGTGAATTTTATTCCAAAAACTTTTCTATCTCATTTGTGTTGTACCACTCATATTATAAGTCTAATTCTTGCTTTATAGTCAGCTTGGTTGTTAGTTACCAGAGAATAGGGCTGTTTAATGACAGAGTGATAGTTAATCTATGAATTCATACTCCTGGCATAAAAGAAATAAAATCAAAGGACAATGTATATTGAAAGAGATAACTTACAGGTTTGAACAATTCAGGTTCAGGAAAATATTTCGGATTTCTATGCAGCCAAAATGGAGACAACATCAACAAGTCACCAGAAGGAACAGTATAATTCTACGATAGAAAAATCAGTTTTGAGTTATTTTTTGAAATCTGCTTTCAAGAGAGTTTGGGTCATTAAAAATAATGCTCCAACTATATTGTAGAGAAGACACATACATTTTATAATCAATGGTAAGAAAATCTAATTCTTTCCTGGAAAGATAATTTCTATTTCCCAATTTAGGCAATGGCTGTGTTCTAATTCTGATGATTAATTACATGTGTCTATAAATTTGGTTACATAGGGGAAAAATATTAGGTCAATGAGATAAATGAGAATTTTAGAAACTAGTATACGCCTGCTGTGGTGCAGCTTTTGATGTTTGAAATTGGGGTTTACAGCAAGTGCTTTTGGTGATGGGAGCCACAGTGGACTCCCAGGTTGTGGTTATGGAACAGAAAAATCTGAGACAGGACATTGGCCACAGTAGCACTGAGGATAGGGCAATGGGTGTTCCGTCCCTGTGACACTCATGATAGGGTCTGGGAAGAGGGAGTGGATTTTCTCAATCTCTCCCTCTTTTTTTTTTTTTTTCCTCACTCCTGAAGCAACTGTTAGGGCAGAAAGAATATGAAGACAACTGGTTAGGAAGACATAGGGCAAAGCAAATGTTGTGCATTTCTTTGGTTGATTTTGTGTTTGGGATCCTGTGGCTGTGGGACTCAGGCTAAGCAGTGTGTTTCCTCAAGCAGGAGAGCCTTCATTGTCTTTCCCCATTTATGTTATTGGAGGTTTTCATGATATATAAATCACCCTTACATCATCATGTTCAGGAACCATAGGACAAAGAGCTTTCCCATGGGGTGTAACCACTAGATGGCTATCAACTTTACTGAGACAGAAATATTTTATTAGTAACTCTCACAGCCAATTATTGGAAGCCATGTATCTATTTAACCCTGCAGGATTTTGAAATGTCCTCAAGATATTTGCAAAACACTTACCTTATGAAACTAGAATATAAGCACCTTACAAATTAAAAATATGTCTTTTTATGGTAGCAGGAAGTGGTGTATGGGAAAGGGTCATCAATTTATTTTTATTATTAGAGGTGGGGGAGGGGCAGAAGGAAAGAGAATCTTAATTAAACAGGCTCCATGCCCACCATAGAGCCTGACATGGGGCTCCATCTTACAACCCTGAGATCATGACCTGAGGCAAAACCAAGAGCTGGACACTTAAACAACTGAGCCACCCAGGCACCCAGGAGTAATCATTTTTTAATGAAAGAGAAACCCCGTTGGCTTCTGTGGGGGCTGAATATTGCTTGAGGTTTGGCAATTGCAGTCCCAGGAGCACTGGAGAGAGCCCTCAAACTGGGAAGTGAGCGAGGATTATGCTGGTGCCATCCTTCCTTTTTTGAAGTAGACGAAGACTTGTGAGATCCCAAGCCTGTTTCTTCTACCACTGCTGGAACTGAGAGGCTAGAGAGCTCATGGCTGACTCAGATCAGCTGTTGAGGGCCCAGATGTGTGTTTGGAGTGGGGCTGGGCACAGCCCTGGGACAGAGCTGCAGGTAGGCCAATGCGGGCCCTTCCCTTCCATACCAAATAGTCCCCTTTAGTGGCTGTTGACCCATAATTACAATTTGGAGACTGCTGGCTGCCACAGCCTACAACACAGGCTAGTAAAATCCTTCAAATGGGATCTCAGTAACAGAATTAACACTAGCCACATGGAGGAGACCAGAAAGAAGTTCCTGTCACAGCAGCAACTACCAGGGTGATGACTGGCATAAAGGGTCTGAGATAGAGCCCCAAGTCGGGCTCCACACTCAGCATGGAATTGACTTGAGATTCTCTCTCTCCCTCTCCTTCTGCCCTTCCCCCTGCTCACGTGTGCTCTCTATCAAAATGAATAAAATCTTGAAAAAAAAAAGTATAAACTTTTGCATAAGAATTGCTCATCAAAATTTTAGAAAATTCAGAAAAATAGAAAAAGCTAGAAAACAACCAGAGTGCTAATAACAAAAAACAATCATGTACTGGCTAGACTTCCCTCTAGTATTTTTACTTAACAGTTTAGTGTTTTGTTGTTATTGTTAAATGTATTTTTATCATGCTGAATAGTTAATTTTTGAATCTCACTTGGTTCACCTAATTTTATAGCTGAAGTATTTTTTCCTTTGCATTGTAGACACATTGTGAAGTTTTATCTCCAATGTCTGTTTAATCTTTTACTGGGTAGATTAAACCATAAATAATTTAATCATTCCCTAGGGTTTTTTCTATAATAAATAATGCCATCCAAAGCATCTTCTTCCGCAAAGCCTTTTTCATATAAAATCTTTTAACAAAGATGTGCAAAAGATAAAGGGCATGGATATTTTCAATGCTGTTAATTCCTTTTGTGCAAATGTTCCTCAAATCTTGTGCCTAAACATGTTTCTACCTATAATATATGAATGTCAATTTCTTTGCCCTCTTCTCTGCTAGTTTGACATTTTTTTTTTCCTAAAGAATTTATTTATTTATTTGACAGAGATCACAAGTAGGCAGAGAGGCAGGCAGAGAGAGAGGAAGGGAAGCAGGCTCCCTGCTGAGCAGAGAGCCAGATGCGGATGCGGGGCTTGATCCCAGGACCCTGGGATCATGAACTGAGCTGAAGGCAGAGGCTTTAACCCACTGAGCCACCCAGGCGCCCCTAGTCTGACATTTTTTAATAGCTAATTTTTGGTTGCTGCAAACATTTTTATGTCTCTGTTGAGCATATTTCCATGTGAAGTTATTTTCTCCTATGAACTCTTGTGTTTATGTCCTGTCCTCATTAATCTGTGAGATTCATGCTTTACTTATTGATCTGCGAGTTCTTTAAATATTAAAACTATTTACCCTTGTGTTGTACTTATATTAACATTTGTTCATAATTTTTGGTTTACATTTAACTTGGATTATACCTTAAAAAATACATGTTAAATTTTAATATGATACATTCAAATCTGTTCATCTTTGTGGTTTCATTGATGAATCCTAAGCCCTTTTCTCTTTAACATAGTGGTTCTCAAAGGCGGTCTAGAAACTTCTAGTTCTCAAGACCTTTTCAGAGGCTTTGCGAGATCAAAAGTCATTCTTGGGTAAAAGACTCATTCAAAGTATAGGACAAACCAAAGGATTTTCATGTAAGTGAGTACAAAAAACTCACTAATATTTCAGATTTCAATAAACTTTTAAGACACTCCCACTGTTGGGAGCGGGCACCTGGGTGGCTCAGTTGGGTAGGCGTCTTCCTTCAGCTCAGGTCATGATCCCAGGGTCCTGGAATGGAGTCCCAAGTTGGGCTCCCGGCTCAGTGGGGAGTCTGATTCTCGCTCTCCCTCTGCCCCTCCCCCTGCTCGTGCTCTTTCTCTCTAGCTCTCTTTTTCAAACAATTAAATTAAATCTTTAAAAAAAAGAGAGAAAGTCCCACTGTTGAGTTTCAGTGAGGTATGGGAGAACAGCCATATCTGAAAAAGCTATTGTAATATCAATTCCTTTTCTGGTAAGATGTCTGTGTGAGGCTGGCTTTTCTTCATTTCCATGAATGGAAATGATATATCACAACAGATTGATTCCAGGCACGTTTATGGGAACCCAGATGTCCTCTATTAGCAAGGCATTAGACAGATTTGCAAAAACTTGAAATGATGCTATTCTTCTACATTTTTTATGTTTTGGAAACTACAGTTATGTTTCATAGAACCATGCCATTTTTTTAACATGTAGTAAGTTCCTTGTTATTTTTTTATTTACCAAATAAACGTTATAATAATTTCTCAGCTTTAGTTTCTAATAAAGTTAATCTTAGTAGATATAATTCGCATAGATAAAACTCTTTGGGATTCTCAATTCTAAGCATACAAAGCAAAGTTGAGAACAAAAATGCCACTTTTTAGCCAGTCATCCCAAAACACATATTATTCTCTTCCCCCTTAATTGACTTATAATGATTCATTCATCCTATATTATGTTCTTATGTACAAAGGGGTTTCCTTCTCTGTTATCTATCCAGTCCGTTATACTGATACTGAACATCTAGTCTGACACCAATATCATACCATTTTATTTTATTTCATTTCATACCATTTCAATTATTGTAGTTTTATAACATGTTTTAATACCTTGAGAAGATAATTAATAGTCTTTAATCATTCATATTTTCCAATACTTCCTTGTTTATTCTTTTCTGGGCATTCTTGCAGATTAACTGTGTACGAAAAGTACAACACCTTGAAAAGAGAATACTGGTAGAAGTTTAAAAGTTTTGGAAAGATAATATTATAAAGAAAAAGAAGGAATAGAATAAGTCAAAGAAAGTAGGTAGTATTTGTCTGTTTTAATTTGTTCCAAAAATATAGAAGAGAATAAGTACAGAAGCAAAAATAAACAATGAGACCATGTTCAGACAATATCAAGAAAGAGCAAGAAGAGAGCGCCTGCAGCATTCCCAGCAAGAAACTCTGACCAGTTGTCCGATGGGGGAGAAAACATGAACCTCTGCCAATGCTTGACACAGATGACCTCATTTGAAATGTTTTTATAGTCCAAATTTCTGGGAGCCCATTAATATGTTCAACAGACATTCCACCTGTTTTAGAAAATTTATGAAGGTTGAAAGGACCATGTTGTATGAATTTATACTAAGGAATTAATTATTAATGTGTACCAGGATTTGACTATACGGATGCCTATCTTTGCACTGTTTATAAACAACTGGAAGCCACACACATTTAGGAATAGGGAACTGATTTAAAAATCAATACTATGTCCATGATTACATTATTATGCTATAATTCAAAGTGGTGTAGATGTCTTTTATTGAAACAGAAAACTTTGGTGAACTACTATCATTATAAAAGCAGATTATGAGAAAATTAGCATAATATGGCCCCAACTGAATTTTTTTTAAATGTAGAGACTACAGGGGAAAAATCTGAAATTATGAGAATGCCAAATGTTCTTAGTGGTCATCAGACTTGTACATTTTTTTTTTAAAGATTTTATTTTATTTATTTATTTGACAGAGATCACAGGTAGGCAGAGAGGCAGGCAGAGAGAGAGGAAGGGAAGCAGGCTCCCAGCCGAGAAGAGAGCCCGATGTGGGGCTTGATCCCAGGACCCTGGGATCACGACCTGAGCCGAAAGCAGAGGCTTTAACCCACTGAGCCACCCAGGCGCCCCACAGACTTGTAAAATTTTAAGCCACCTTTATATCCTTCTTTTTACTTTTTTTTAAATAAATGGTTTCCTTCTTAAAAATAATTACTATAACTTATTTATGTAATAATTTTTTAAAAAGCTGTGCAGGTTGTCATTTTCAAAGTTAAAGCCTCAACTCTGCAGGGGAGAAGTTCACAGGGATTAGTGTACACTTCCTCGGAGGAAAGTTTGTATTTATTTCATTTATAAAAGAAATAGTAAGTACAGAAGACCCTGCTGCACCTTTTACAAATATTAAAAAGGTATTTTGAAAAATAAGGAAAGGAAGTTCTGGAGTGTTCTTGGAAGATGGCATCCTGAACACATGTCTCTCGTTGCCCATTCACTATGAGAGCCATCACAAGGGCTTAGAGTGAGCCTGGATCCATCTGGATCTCATGTCCTCTAGGAAGAAACTGTGAGTGTGAGGAAGTGGAGGTAAGAGACTATGATCGTTTTATAACTTTTCTAATTGCTTGAGACATCAATTACTTTTAATTAAAAATTTTTATTGGGAATCCATAATGTTGGAATTATGAAACAGTTCAGTTGTGTAAGAGAATTATACGCAGTGAATCATAAATGGCTTGTTGCCTCCACTACTAAAACACATTTCAAGAATAATCATTAAAAAAATTTACTATGTACAAAGATGCAAATAAATATCACATTAAAATAACCACAAAGGAAAACAATCTAAATTCTCAAGAGTTAGGCAATAATTAAATATTTAAGCTATCAATTCAGTGGCTTATTATAAAGCCTTTGAAATAAATATTAAGACTCTGGATGCATGAAAAGGATAATAATGTTTAAAAAATGTTTAAATCAAAGATTTATACTATGATGAAACATAGATTTCTGTACTGATGTCAAACAAGGAGCATGTCAGATAAATGATCACTGGGGTTTTACGGGAACAAGTTTATATGTGTGTGCCTGGGTTTGAGGTTGGGTGTTTCTTTTGGTAAAGTTCTCGAATGAGTAAAATTACCTTAAAGAAAATATGACATGTTAATGGCCACAACAAATTCATAACCTGAGATCAAAAAGAGGAAATGAGAGAAAAAGAAAAGAGTTAGGGAAGAAGAGGAAAAACATACTGCTGATTTTTCTCTTTTCCAGTCTTTCTTTCTCTCTCTCTCTCTCACACACACACACACTACACACAAAGAAAAATAAAGAAAGCAAAAGAAGGAAGGATGGAAGGATAGAAGAATGGAATGAATGAAGGAAGGAAGGAGAAAGAGAAAGAAAGTAGGGAGGGTAGAAGAGAAAAAAAGAAGTAAAGAAAGGAATCTGAGTGTTCACAAGAAAGGTGGCAAGACAAGCACAAAATATTTTTTAAGAGATTGTCATGATATAGAAAAAAGACAAAACAGTGCAAAAGAAAGAAAGGAAAGGAAAGGAAAGGAAAGGAAAGAAAAGAAGTGAAAAGAAAGAAAAGAAAAAAAAAAGAAAGGAAAAGAAAACTATAGGCCCCTATCTCTCATGAACTGAGATGCAAAAATATCCTTAACAAAATATTAGTAAAAACAAATTTAACAATGTATAAAAAGAACTATACATCATGATCAAATGAGACTTATTCCAGGGATGAAAGGCTGACTCAATATTCAAAAATCAATAAATGTAATCCATCACAACATGTTAAAAAGAAAAAGCATATGATTATATCTACTGATGCGAAAAAGTGCTAGACAGAATCCAATACCCATTCATAATTAAAATTCTCAGCAAATTAGAAATAGAGGGCTATTTCCTCAACTTGATAAGAAGTATCTACCGGGGCACCTGGGTGGCTCAGTGGGTTAGAGCCTCTGCCTTCAGCTCAGGTCATGATCCCAGGGCCCTGGGATTGAGCCCCGTGTTGCGTCGGGCTCTCTGCTCAGCAGGGAGCCTGCTTCCTCCTCTCTCTGCCTGCCTCTCTGCCTACTTGTGATCTCTGTCTGTCAAATAAATAAACAAAATCTTAAAAAAAAAAAAAAAAGAAGTACTACCAAAATCCTATAGCTAACATCTAGCCTAATAGTGAAAGACTTACCTCTCAGATCAGGAACAAAGCAAGGATATCTGTTGTCACTACTATCATTCAGCATATGTTGAATGATAGTAGTGACAACAGATATCCTTGCTTTGGACTTTAGAGCCAGTGTAATAAGGCAAGAAAAAGAAATAAAAGAAGAAAAATATTCTCTACATAGAAACTCTCAAGGAATCTATAACAACAGTTGTAGGACTAATAAGTACGTTGAGTTTTGCAAAGTTGCAGATACAAGGTGTACACTTAAAAATCAGTTGCATTTCTAAAAACAGGTAATGTACAATTGAGAATCAAAAATTTTTAAAGTACCATTTAAAAAAGCTCCAAAATAACTGAAATATTTTGGTATAAATATAACAAAGCATGTATAGGATCTGTATACTTAAAATAACAAGACAAGTACTAGCAGATAAATAATGTCTGTAATTCAGCTAATTATCTGTTAGCCAGGATATAAATAAAGCTTAATAGAAGTTTAATAAAAATTATAGTATTATTCAGAGTAATAAACACATTCCTTGACTAAATTGCACCCAGTTGTTGGATAATATCTTCTCAAAGCATATCATTTTATACCCATATTTTTTAAAAAAGACATTTATTTATGAGAGAGTGTAAGCTAGGGCAGGGGTTGGGGAGGGACAGAAAGAATCTCTAGCACACTCCCCTCTGAGTGAGAAGCCCAATGTGCAGCTTGGTCCCAAGACCCTGAGATCTTAAATGGAGTTGAAATCAAGAGTCAGATGCTAAACTGACTGCGCCACCCAAGCACCCCTTTTTAATTTTTTTTATTTATTTGACAGACAGAGATCACAAGTAGGCAGAGAGGCAGACGGAGAGAGAGGGGGAAGCAGGCTCCCCGCTGAGCAGAGAGCCCGATGCGGGGCTGGATCCCAGGACCCTGGGATCATGACCTGAGCTGAAGGCAGAGGCTTTAACCCACTGAGCCACCCAGGTGCCCCCAAGTACCCCTTTTTATACTCATATTTTATTTAATAGATTATTTAAAAACAAAAATTGTTAAAATCCCACTAAAACTAAATTCTGTGATTTATGTAAGATCTGTTAAATAAATAATGTCTCCTTTAGATGTAGCAAGTTGCAGTTTTTATAAAAATTGGATTTTTTTGTCTCTTTTATGTTCTATTACTAAAAATTTTTCTTGACTTGAATCCAAGCACTCTCAAACTGTATGTAAAAAAGCTAGTAAGAGTTGAGGGCTGAGTAAATGTCATCTATCTGAATAATGCAGGCCCTATATCAAGCCAATCTGAAAAAAAATATTTTGTTCTGCCAGATTTGCCAAATATTAAATTGAAAGTCAGCCACATGCACATATCTTTCATGGAGCACTTGAGAATTTTCTCCTACTTTGCTCAGAGAAAGGATCTCTCTCCTTCACTCAGCACTGATTGCTAATATCAGTTGCTATTATCCACAGCATTCCTGCTCTGTTTCCACAGCTGTTATCTGTGGCCTGAAACTACCTTCCAGATACCAAAAGAACTTTCTTCATACCCTTAATTCCTCAACCTCCTGTTGCTCAGGATTACTTATTGGCTGGTTCAGCAGACTATCTAGTCTACCTGTTTGATTTCTATAGGATTATACTAATTCTGATATGAAATTACATAACCAGAATGATTATTAAAGGGTTATATTTTAGCTAAAATTATTGTCTACAGATAAATAGCCATATTAATAGATGCTGCTGCACAACTCTGACTAGTAACCTATTCTAACATCATTAGTGCTTCGTGGAACTTAAGGAGTTATCTAATAATATATGGGCATTATATGTATTTTTTTCCTTAGAAAGTTAATTACTTTTTCTCTTCTGATTGATTTTTAAAATTTAAATTAAATTAATTAACATATAATGTATTATTGGCTTCAGAGGTAGAGTTCAGTGATTCATCAGGGTTCTATAATACCCAGTGCTTGTTCTTAAAACCAAAGCAAAGCTCACCAAAATTTTAACTGGCTTCAGCACTTTTCTGGTAATGACACCAGGGGCTCTTAAACGAATGGCTTCTAAAATACACCACTTGATTAGTGGGAGTTTCTTCAAGTCATCCTCAGATACTTTCATCTTATCTTTACCTGCAAAGAGAATTTCAAAAAAATTTTTTAAAAGGTAGACTTAAAGAAACCAGAAAGTGATTTCATGGAAGATCATCAACACAGGTTAGAACCTGCCTCCGACCACAACTGTTAGCATTGCCATTACATTTTGCATACCAAGTTTAGTAACTGAGTGCCTCTTTTTTTTGTTTTCCTCTTACCAAGATCAAATGTATGGGCCCCCCCAATTAACCCACTGGTTACTTCAAGGTGATGGAATGGGATCCAACTTTGGTCTTCACCTTCCTATGGCTATCAAATGATTAAGATAAGGTCCATCAGAGAGTTGCTCAATTTTCACTCCTTTCATTCTTTCTTGTCCAAATTCTTCTTCTACTTAAGGAAATAGCAATAAAAGATTGGCATCAGAAGCATAAAGTAAAAAATCTGAGACGCCATCTCCCTTACTACTTCTACCTCTTTCCCGAGGATTCATTTTTGGTTTTGTCTTTGATTTTTCAACCAGACATTTCAGAAGGCCCAAAAGGAACATGAGGAAAGGGACAATGAGGCACATGCATTACATCTGGAATAATGAGCTCTCCCTCTAAACATAGGTGCATCAAACACTCTAATGTAATATGCATACCTCAGCTTATGTTTAGAATGAAGGCACCTATAAAAGGATTGGAGTGAATCTTTTCTTTTCTTTTCTTTCTTTCTTTCTTTCTTTTTTTTTTTTTTTTAAGATTTTACTTATTTATTTGCCGAGAGAGACAAAGTGAGAGAAGGAACACAAGCAGGGGGAATGGAAGAGGGAGAAGCAGGCTTCCCACTGTGCAGAGAGCCCAATGCAGGGCTCAATCCCAGGAGCCTGAGCCAAAGACAGATGCTTAACGACTGAGACACCTAGGCGCCCCCTGGGGTGAATCTTTTTATGACCCAAAATATGTTAGGGTCTTTCAGCCCAATTAGATATTTCAGTTAATGGTATTTCAAATGAAATGTTTACATTTTGAAAATTATTTAAAAACAACTCAGCTTTCAATTTACTTTTGATAGCATTTGGTTTATAAAATTCAACATTGTCAGTTTAGTTAAGTCAACTTTCACATTTGCTTTCCAGCTGTATTGGGAAAGAATGGGTAAGAGTGGAATGTAAGATCTCCAGCCATGTCTCTCTTAGACTCTGGATAAGGCTAGTTCTAAAGCAAGCCCAACCTGCAGGAGAGGTTGAGGTGGGTGCTGCCTGGGAAATCTCATCTGTCAGTACTACAGAACTCCTGAGTAGTCAGAAGCAAATGTCTTTGGTTGGTGGAATCTGGGAACAAGGTTTTTTGAGCTATAGTTCTATTAGTACCCATAGGGGCATCTATACAGTCCATTCAACTTGACAGATTCTTGAGCACTGAATCAGGACCGGGAGCTGAGTTAGGCTTTACTAGGGTTACAATACTTAAGGCATTCTTGCAATACACTTAGTCTACTGGGAGGTAAGAGACAAGCCCACAGTTAACTGGTATTCCATGCAAGCAAGGAAACTGTTCTGTGATGTGTAAAATATTCCAATATTTTGTTATAATATAAAAGCAGGGAGGTTCATGTCCAACTAAAGGAAAAAGCAAAAAACTCTCTGAGTGTTTTCCTCTAAAGCTACAACTATTAATTCTTTGCAGAGAGTAGACCTTAGCAAATAAATATCAAGTTAACAAATGGTCCAACTTCAACATGGGGAGACGAATGAGTGGATATTCTAGGCAAAGAAAAGAGGAAGAGTAAAAGGAAGACTGTGGAAAGCTTGGATATGTTCAGAAAATGACAATGCCTGTAGAGGGCCTAGAAGGTGAGGTAAATGTGATGGAACAGTAACAGGTCCACTGAGGCCATTACAGGCCATCTTCAATGCCATTCTGGAAAATGTGGAGACCAGGAAATTTCAGGACTTCCTGTCTTGGGCCAAGAAAGGATGAAAACTTCACAATGAAACAGTGATACACAGCATTGTCCTTTTTTTTCCCCTCTAAGATTTACTTATTTATTTGAGAGAGACAGAGACAGACAGACAGAGAGAGAGTGGCAAGAAGGGGCAAAGGGAAAGGGAGAGGTTGTCCCAAGCAGACTCTTCACTGAGCGCAGAGCCTGACACAGGGCTTGATCTCACAATCCTGAGATCATGACCTGAGTTGAAATGAAGAGCTGGACACTCAACCTACAGCACCATCCAGGCGCCCCCACAGCACTGTTCTTCATTTGAACAGAATTTGAACTTCTTTCTGCTCATTTGCTCAGACCTAAGTGACCTAATACTAAAAAGAGACAAATGACCTCCTGGACTTCTTGTTTAACCTTCACAGACAGTGTCTCACAAAACTGTTGCTTTTGCTTTCCCATAACAAGGATTGGAAAATCATAGGCATGCTTTCTGCATCTTCACAACCTAAATATAACAGTTTTTCCAAATTGTGTTCTATGAAAGAACATGTGCAAGATGTTAAATGTTTAAAGCAGGAAAAAGGTTTTATGGCCCACCAAATACCAGGAAATGTTAACATTCTATGGGTGATTCACTGAACACATTAGCGTATTATAGGTTTTGAGAAATCCCATAGTAGAGACCGCTATTTATGCCAACATTCCCAAACTTTTTAAAACTCCCATTACTATACAAGCATCATCAATAGCTATTCAATGAGGACACAAAAGATCATTAGCTGTGTAATGTAATGGCTATAGGTCCTCTCTAAGACAATTCTTCAAAAACAAAAACAACCAAACCAACCCTGGTTTTCATTTGTCTGAGCATTAGCAGCACATACCATATGCCTGGGCGTGCCTGTGGCCAAATTCCCTAACAAACAGTTACTGCGAGCCAAAGGAATTATTACCATCAGAAAACTATCTTGATATGCCATGGAAAGCTAATGGCACCAAAATTTTACTTCTTCATACTTTTCTTGAAGTATCCCTGTACATTTTAAGCTAATTCAGAAAAAAATAATTTAGAAAATCTATGCTTGGAATGAGAAATTCTTCATTTGAAAAAAGGACTGAGGTTGTTGCATAGGCCAGAGATATCACTATTCAATCAAATGAACAAACATTTATTTGGCATTTAGTACAGAGAAAATGTTAACTAAGCATCACAGGGATATAAGAAATTTAAGTTTGAAGACAATAAAAAGACAATAAATTCTCAAACTAAAGGAAAAGAAGGGTAAATGCTTTCCCCAGACAGTGTTAAAATGAGGAATTCTGAGGTTCTAATTTATGAGTTTATAAACGACATACAAATTTAGAGCACCGTCTAACATCTGTTAAGTGTTCAATACAAGTTGGTATCTATTACTGTTACCATTATTATTAGTGTGAATTTAGTACTCTCTAGAAGATTCACTTTTGCTCCATAGACGATAAAGAGATTCTTTCCCCTGAAACCTCAGTTAGGAGACAAGCTACAGTCTGAGAATCTATCCAGTACTAACCAGACACCGCATCTGAGGAAGTCTTTCCATCACTCACCAGCAGACAGTTAGTGAGAACCTCTGAGCAGTGTCCAAGTGCTGAGGATGAAGATGAATGGAAGAGCCCTAGCTCTTAAGGAGTTCACAGTCTGATAAAGAAGCAAAGAACTAAAAGTAGTAAACATGGGGTAAGTGTCCCTGCACTGAAGCATGCAATGTGCAGTAGGACACAGTGGTGACAGTGACCAGACTGGGGTTGGTGGGGAGGGGTGGTTGCAAAGGAGAGATCAGAGAGGTTTCACAGAAGAAGTAAAACCAGAACAAAGGATTGAATATGCCAAAACGAAGGACATATTCACAGAAGAGGAATTCAGCTGGCTGGAATAGAGTTCAGGGCAGGAAGTCATTAGACCAAGTGACTTCAGTGCTCCACTGCAGTCCCAGGCTGCCCATACCCGCTAAAGCCAGAGCTAGGGACAGGTGGCTCCTTTATCCAACCTCTGAGTGTGACCTGGATGTGCCCCAGTTTCATTTCTGGGCTTTCTTCTCTCGTCTAGGCAGATTCTTTCTCTTGGGGATTCAAATAAATATCTTCTATAAAATCCCATCAATGGGCTGGTTATATCAAGAATTTTACCTTCTGCCTATGATCACCTTCCTGAATTCCATCTTATTTTTATCCAATTGGCTTCTTGATAGCGCTGCTTGCAGGTCTAAAAGACATCTTGAAGAATGCTTTGGTCAATACAGAACTCTTCATTTTCTCCACTGAAATAAAGCTTTTCCTCCCTTGGTCTTGCTATCACTGAAAATGGTAGCAAAATTTGTCTAGTTGCTCACATCCAACACCTGGGAGTCATCCATAATTCATCCCTTCCCCTTTTACTCCCATTTAATTAATCACCAAAACCTCTTGTTCCTATCCACAAAATGGATCCTACCGCCATTCACATCACTCCATCTCCAGAGCTACCAGTCTTGTCCAAAGGCACCATCATTTCTCTGCTGCCCCAGGTGATAGCCACCATCACTCTCCCTGCTCCTACCTGGCTCTGCTATAATTCTTCTGCAAATCAGACCAAGTCAGTACCCTGTGCAGATCCCATTAAGGGCTTCAGTGCTATTTAGAATCAAATCCAAAGTTCTTACTTTGGCAAATGAGACCCCATTTAACCCTCTCATCTCGCACTGAATCCTGGGGGCTGTGTGACCTTTATAAGTGATCCAACCTCTTTGTGCCCCAGTTTGCTCACCTACAAAATAGGAATAATTAAAGAATCTGCCTATATGGTTGTTGTGAGTAAAGCTCTTACAGCTATGACTGGCACGTGGCCAAAACTCAGTAAATGCTACTGTCATCATTATTATTTCTTCTGCCTTATTCCAACTGTTTGAAAGGCTAGCTCCTTCTTATCCTTCAGACCTCTGCTAAAATATTTCCTCCCCAGGAAGCCCTTCCCTTACCAGCTAATGTCTTCCAAATCACTAGCATGCCATTTTGCTTCCTTTAGAGCTCCTGTTAATATAGGAAATAATTTGGCTTATTGTTGACTGTTGGATATGAGTCCATGTTTTTCA